GTGTGTGTGTGTGTGTGTGTGTGAGACCGTTGTGACTTCAGAAGCCCGGTCAACACAATAAAGTTGACAAACTAGCATTCGACGTAGGTACACAAGAAGAAGGAACACGGCTTAGATTTGTATCTTTGGTGTTAGCTATGCAGCTATTTTTTCACATAATAATAATAATAATAATAATAAGCATAGCGATAAAATAAATCGTTGTGTTCCGCTCGGTGTACTTTAGGTGCAGCTGTGCTCAGATCACTTGAGGCTTCTTCTGGACACAAATGTAAGGGCCGTGTGCGTAAGCGAGTGGACGTGCAGTGGGGCTCGAACACACGTGGTGAGGATTATCATGACATGTCATAACACTGAGTCATAACGCGCAAAGAGACTGCTCACTGATGGACGCGGACAAACACGGGCGACGACAACACGCAGGGCTATTTGTATCCTGTGACATCGACGGAAAGACCACGGCTATTTTATTTTAGAATTCAAACTCGGAAATTTAGAGATCCACTCCGGAATGCTGGGAGTACGTTTTGCAGGTACAATATTTGAAATTTTTAAAAGGTGCTCTTTTATAGTTGGGTTACGGTTATTATTTTGGAATGTAACTTGGAACATTTGAAAATAAAATTGCAATATTCAACATCTACTTGTTTTTGTTTTTTTAACCTCATTTGCCTGATCTTGTCCAAAAGGAACACGACTCAATAATAAAATAAGAATTTTCCCTTTCTCACACAATAACAATTTGTAAAATTACTGGCATAACCCCCCCCCCCCACACCCACCCCCAACAAGGACAACGGACAGCCTCGCTGAGCTGACAATTTTTTTGTTTTTTTTTTTGCTTTTCAGCTAAACTTGAAGATTTAAATCCTAAGTTAGCCACGTGCCTCGCACAAAGTAAACAGGCGTAAAATAATGGGATTGAGATTGAACAACTCGTGAAACGTACAGTATAATCATCGGATAATAAACTAAAACTGATCAATACAAGTAGGTCGACGCTACGACTGTACCGAGTCAATACTGCTTTTATATATATATATGTACACATACATATATTTATATATGTAAATATATATACATTTACGTATATATATTTAAATATATGTACATATACATATATGTGTGTATATATATATATACACATATATGTATATATATTTATATATATGTAAATATATATGTATATAGACAAAGAGTGAGATTCTCATATATAATATCATTTTGTTCGGACTCATGGATGCGACTGTGAGAGGGAGAAATGGAGATTGTTTTGTTATCACAGTACAGAAGGTGACCAGTCCAGGAGCTGTTCAGAGGTCAGTGGTGGCCTTGGCGGTGAGGGCCTGGATGCGGGCGGTGTTACAGTTTTTGCAGAGGACGTGTCCGTCCAGAGGGTAGCAGCCCTGGTTGTCCCCCTCTGAGAGCAGGGAGCCACAGTCCTGCAGGACACGGACACAGGGTCAGACAACAGGCTTCACATCGGGAACAGTCACTGATGTTTTTTATTTTTCAACACCTTCACGGACACACGCGGTCATGAGACATTTATGTTGTTGGTAAAGACATTCACACAGTTTTAACACAATTTATAGGTTAGTGTTTTATATCACATTGTTAGGAGAGGTGCTTTACAGATGCAATGACTTATTTGTTTTATTCTAACCTTTTAGAGTGAGCTAAGGAAAGTCTAACTCTGTTGAGAAATACAATTTAGAAAAGAAAAAAATATTAAATATTCATCTTTTGGTTATTTCCAAGGAAAACATCTGGATTCAGGAATAATGACCCTTGATGTAACTACTTTGGACAGACAACTAACTTCTATAGAAGAGGTTCACAACCACTGGGTCCTGGAACAATACTGGACCGCCAATAAAAATACATGTTTACAGCTGCAAAATATTAAAATTTTATTTTGAAAAAGACCACACATGTCTTGCCTTGCTTATCAAAATAAAAGTCTTCGTTAAAAAGGAAAAATGCCAACAGAGGAGACAGAAGATGAGCCTTCAGCTAGCAAAAATAAAAGTTATATTTTCATTCACCACCGGTCCAGGAGTGTATCTTATTATCTCACATGAACCCAATCCATGTTCCAAAACTGTTCTGGACCTCTGTTCCACAGTATTACATTTGTTGCTTCAGTGCAGGGGTCCTCAACCTTCAACACCAGTTGTATCAGGGTATGATGTTTTAAGTACTCTAGATATACTACAGCATCGGTTCCCAAAGACCGGGTCACAAGAGTTTTTTTTTGGGGTCGTCTCGCATCATGTTTCCCAGGAGTTTCCGAATAATGTCTATAGACTTGGGTCACAAAGGTTTGTGACTTTTAAAATATGGGTCCCCAGAGAAAAAGTTTGGGAAACACTGTACTGGAGTATACAGTTAAAGAGAACATCGACACTATGCTGCGTCGCTGTTTAACACTACGCCAGAACTTTAATTCAATTCTGACTTTTGAAAAACAAATACACAGTATCAAGGATGCGTCAGTGTCTGCAGGGAAACACGTTAGCTTACAAATAAGAACACTGGCAGATGGTATGTACAGTATGAGCCGTTCGTATGTTTCTGTCTGGGAAAGCAGCCAAACGTTTGGTAACACTAATCTAATCTAATCTCACAGGGAGCTAATGTTAAAAAAAAAAAAAAAAACCCTCAGTCTGGTTTAGTGGAACTTACTGGAAATTCAACCCTCTTTGATTTTATAATGCCGAACACAATGACACAATTAGTTCCTGTAATTTTTACTTTAGAGGGCACGGATCCTCCTCAGGCTCCACCTGTGCTCACAGCTACACACGACCAGTGTTGTCATCAACAGGTTATACTCGAACCTGCTGTGACCTTTAATGCTGACCTGTCAGAAAATAATGTTTTTATTTTCTTGATGTTATGACTTCATGACGGTTCACGGGAGAAACAACAGGTTTGATTTTGGTTCTCACAGAAGACAAACCTGCAGTTTTTGAAATCAATTACTTTGGAAAATCACTTGGATCTGGATGCACATCTGTGCCACAACGGTGTGAAAGGGCCAACTGTGTTACATCTTCATCATTCTCTCTCTCTCTCACACACACACACACACGGAGAGTGAATAACAAGTTCATCTCCTCATGTCTCCCTGGTGACAGAATCCTTCTCTTACTGAGCTCCTCCCTGAGCCTGAACTAATCTGCTCCGCTTCCATTTGACCTTTACGTTCGCCAAATGCTCCGTGTTCTCACACTGAAATAGTTCTCTAAAAATGTGAGGCATTACTTCTCTTTTAGCCGGGCACGTAATGTAAAGCTTATCAGCCGGCAAGTGGGCTGACTGACGCTGGTTACGATGTGAGTCTGTGAACTTTGCCGAGAAGGGAGAGAGAGAGAAGATGAAAAGCTATTTTGGGGGGCAGGTAAGAGAGAGACGAGTATCGACAGCGTGCTGTAACTGCTGCCGTCTGCAGCTGTGAGCTCTGGCAGACCAAACGGTGCCCTCTCATCATGTGTGTAGAGAGTTAGCCGGGGTAAACACAGGCCACGTACCTCACAGCGATAACACTGCACGTGGAAGTCACGGTCCAGGGCCACGATACGGACGGTCTCCTCCTGGCCAGGAGCAGGCATTATAGGCTCGTTGCACACACAGCAGCGTGGAGCGAACTTCCTGTGAGAGAGGACCGAGAGAAGAAGGCTCAGAACAATGACAATGACCGACATCATTACATCGTGTACTTTTAGGAAACGTGTGTTTTCCAAAATTAGCTTTTACCGAAACTGTGTTATTAAAGGAAAGTGAAAGTGAACCGCTTGTCATTGTGACACAGCACACCACCGCACACAACCAAATGTGACATCTGCTTTTAACCCATCACCAAAGTGAACAGCTATAAGCGCCAGCGTGCACCTCAGTGGTACGGACTCGAACCTACAACCTTCCCGTCCCAAGTCCACTTCCTTAACCACTAAGCAACCTTCCAGTCCCAAGTCCACCTATTATTTCAGATTAATTCACCATTGAAACGTCAGATTAAAGGATACAGGGATGTCAAGTGGTTAGCGGTCTTGCTAGTGATGTCGTACTCCAGACCGGCCTTGGTCTCGTGCTGGACTCGCTCTTGTCTCGGGATGAACTCGGGATATTTTGTCAAGACCAGTCAAGATTACAGCTGCTGTGAATTACTTTTTAAATGGTAAAATTTCCTAATTAAAAATGAAATCAATAAAGTATTTTATTTTGAAAGCGATGACACTACATTGACCTAACCAACCATTTGAAATAACTGAACTTTTCAAAATAAAAGACTAATGCGTCTGTTTTTTTTTGTTTAAAAACCACTACAGCCTGATCTGATACCGACGCCCGAATGCTCAACGTCACTTTTTATGCCTTGAGCAAAAACGTTTGTTCAGATTTTCAGGTCACAGACACTAGATTAATAAATCATGATGCATTTTTTTCTGATTCTATCAAAAGTTAAATTGAAGATGACGTTAAAGTAGAGTGTGTGCGTGAGAAAACAAAGGGTTTGATACAGGAGTTTGGCCACAGGACAGCACTGTATGTTCATGTCCTGTGCACAACTGCTGTTCTCCAACTACACATATGCAAAGTGGTGAATATTAAATATGTCTTGATTCTAATTTTTGATGTTTATATGTGCGTTTTTTTTTTGTTTATAATTTGCAGTAAAGAACAAAATATATACATATACAGTATATGTTATAATTTAAATTCTAAGCTTTGCAACAGTGTAGAAATATGATGTATGATTTTGGGAAACATCATTGCAAAACCAATATCTAGTTCAGCATTTACAGCACCAGACATCAAACCAGTAACTTTGGAAATGCCTTCACCGGGAAAAGGGTCTATTATTAGAACGTATGAGGATCTGAGAAAAGATGAAGTGAGGTTGTAACTTACACGGAGGCCGTGGGATAAAACTGTTTCACAATCTCACTAAGCTAAGAGTCGACCAGGAGCGTTTGAGGACACCCAGGTGTACAAGGTCAAACCAGTCAGGTGTGTTTAGACCACAGGCCGACACGCCCTCTCTATCAAACATCGCCAACACAGCAGGAGCCACTTGTTGACGTCAGCTTCCTTTCGGTCATGCAAGGAACGCTTATGGGAAGTCGACGGTTGTGAAATCGAAGCTATGACACAATAGCAGAAATTTACTAAGACGCTCAAAATTCACTGCTTTATCTCCCGGGTCAGTTTGCACGTAAAGGACAAAAAAAGGTATCAAACAACCCCCTTCACCTGCCAAAAAAAAAAAAAAAATCCCATGATCCTCTAGGGCATATGTGTTAAACTCAAGGCTCAGGGGCCAAATGCGGCCCACCAAGCCATTTTGTGTGGCCCACGGGAGCTTAAAAAGCATTGAATAAAGTCCATGCAGCAGAGTTTATCAACCTATGAAATTAAACACAGCAATGAACAATATTTGTAGCTTGAATAAATAATAATCAATTGCAGATGGATGTTTTAGTCTATTATGGAGGAGCTACATCTATACCAGACTCTAGTCTGAATGACTTTTATTTTAAAATATTGCAAGATTATTGTCAAATAAAGAAAGTAAATAAAATTTTTTTTGAATGAAGTTAATTCGAATTTTTAATTTTTTCACTGTGTCCCGCTGCGGGCTGGTACCAAAGGACCTATGGACTGGTACTGGTCCACAAACCAGGGGTTTGGGACCCCTGATCTATAGTGTTCCATTTACAACCGGCCCTTCAACAGGAACTGTATTGCTGACGTGGCCCCCGGTGAAAATGAGTTTGACACCCCTGTTCTAGGGGAAAGTACCTGATCTTTCCGTCTAAGGAAACCTTTAGTTACATACTTGTGAAAGTCCTCGATGCAGTGAATGTGGTTGGAGGCATCCACGGTGAAAGGGATGCCATCCAAGCTGCGGTGACACACCACGCAGGTGAAGCAGTGAGGATGGTAGGCCTTCCCCGTGGCCCGCAGGATGCGCTCCATAATGGGCTTACTGCAGATGGTGCAGGTCTCCAGCGTTTTCTGTGGAAAAAAAAAAAAAAAAAGCATATTAATACATACATGCTAATCTATCAACCAGTGCTTCATCGCTTAAACCACTTTGTCTGCCCATTCTTAGGACCTTTAAAGTTTTTTTTTGGCCATTTCTCATCTTTGTGTTTTTTGTTCCTTGTGCTGCCACAAACAGAACCTCAGTTATCCTCAGATGCCTCGGAAGCTGAAGGAATCTGATCAGAGCTCTAGTCCAAACACAAACACGGTCATTTATCTGTTGCCCGCACCCACACCCCCATCCCCATCCCATCCCATATGCTAGAGTGTGAGCAGTAAATATTTCTATTTTGTGATGACTGCAGGTTTTCTGCAGCCAGGCGACTGGGCAGCGGGCCCAAGCTGGGGGGTTGGGAAGACGTGACGGCCTCTGCGCCTGACTTATCTGTACTGTAGCATCTCTCTTGCTAATATATGCTGGAAGACCCCATTTGTTATTTGGATATTTTATAAATAACGGCAGGGTCTCTAAATAGCAAAGCAATTACACAGCGGTGAATATATCATGCGAGTGGAATCGGGCTGTTGCATCTCTTTTCTGTTTCTTTTTCCTTTTCGGTGAATGGGGCTGCTGCACCAACATCCAGCCAGGATGGCAATCTGCCACGCAAATAAAACTCGGGGTAAGTACACGTACTTCCACCTCCACCAATGACACTGCGTTGAGATGATGCTCAGCCCCGTCTGAGATAACGGTATTTGATATGTTGTAATGTTGCACAGAAGGAACGGAAACTCCAATGTGAGAGTACTTCTTAAATGATCATCTGACTTCTACTTTCAGGCAGAAGTGTAGGTTGGTTTATTTCATGAAAAGCAACATGTCACATGCTCCGCATCCTTTTTTTTTTTCCCACCTTTTTTGAGATTGGTAATAAAAATAAACATTAATCCCAGGGCAACATTTGTGTATAAACAATGTCCATATTGAAATCCTGCTGGATCCTGGAAGCAGAAGAAAGCCTTTAATGAGCTCACTGCACTGAACCCTTGAGGTTTGCCCCACACACACACACACACACGCACAGAGGCAGGGAGAACAGAAGCAAGGGTGAGAGAGAGTGAGATTACAGCTCCTACCTGGGAGTCGGACTGGGGTACCAAGGCCAAACAGCACTAAACCATCCTCAACTCTTACAGTACTCCTTACATTCCCACTCACTTATCCACTTCTGTCCTTCATTAGGGAATACCTTGCCCTTGTTTAACTTAACTAGAGCATATGATTCCACAGCACACACTTCCTTCAGGCCACTGTAATGAGTACAGTACTCAAAAGACAAAATTTCTCTCTTTCTCCCCGACGGTGACCTCAATTCATTCATTTTGTCTTCACTGGTTTGAATTCCTTTTTGACTCCTCGTACCTTTTCTTTTTTCTGTTTTTTTTTTAAACAAAACATTCATCTGCATGGTTACTTCAAGTCTGAGTAGGAATAATTAATTAAAGAGTGATCTAATGAATGGATGTGCTCGACCTCCCCATATGGTGAAGGGAAATATGCATAAATCACTTCAGATCCCATCTCTCTGCGCAGATCTCCTACAAATGGCCACTAGAGGGCTGTATACGTTTACAGATGTCTGGCTTTGTGCTCCCCCCGCCCCCCCCCCCCCCCAGACTAAATGTGATGTATTGAAGCCTACGTCTTCCTCCTCACCCGCCCCTCTTCCTCGTACATTTCTCAAAGTGTTTGCCCAGAAGGCTAAACAAATGTCTAAGCAGATGAGGTGAATTTAGGTCAGACGGCGCTTTTGCTGAACTACGGGGTGATTGGAGTGTGTTCACAGTCAATTGTGAGCCGTTTCTTTTCTTTTCTTTTCTTTTTTTTTTTAATAAACTGTTTCTACTTTGTGACGGGTTTCTTCCATGTTCTCCACGTCACGTCACGGACCGGACGCCACTCGAGCCCGGCGTCACAGAGTTGAGCAACCGGCCTTCTCAAATTAAGTGTGACACAACTGTCTGCCGAAATGAGAAATGTGACGGTAACCAGGCATTTCAGAAAAGTCAAACAAAAACCTTCAAGCGTCTGCTGTCATCACCACACACACACATCTGACAGGAAACAGACAGGAAGTCAGACCGCAACACGACAGAAGGAGAAGCTCATTTCTAAGTAGTAACGAAATAGTTGGACTCTTGTTTTATTTTTATTTTTTTATCTCAAAAATGAGGAAGAGTTTAATCATTTAAGCAGTTTTAAAATTAGACTGATAAAAAACAAAAAATAAATTAATAACCAGAGTTCAGCTTTAGATATTCAATCCCACAAAACTGCTTTGATAAAGCAAGTTGTAGAAATGAATGTTTGAAATGAACAACATAATTATTCATAAACACAAATAAGTGAAATAAGGACCCTCAACGTCAGCTGTGAATTGAACATATTTCCTGATTTGAAACCTGGCAGAGTGTATTCAGAGTTCATGATGTCAGTTTGGTATCTATGTGCCTCTGAGTGTGTGTGTGTGTGTGTGTGTTGAAAGATGGCTTCACTGGTGCTGTGTAAACTAACCACACCTCACGGACAGTTGCTGAACAAGACGGAGTTAGCGTTAAACACAAACACCGGTATCGCATCAGCATCTACGACACGGCGATGGACTTCTTCTGCCTCAGATGAGCTTGAAATAAAAATACTTTCTCACTTACTTTTTTTTTCTCGGAATCAATCAATCTAAAACAAAATATTATCATCTCTGCCTATTTAACTACACATTTTTATTTATTTATTTGCAACACGCAAGAGACGGGTGAAGTGACACTACAAAGAAAATGTGAGTAAAAAGAAGAAAAAAATGGCTTCACTTAATTAATGTCACCATGTCATGCAGTCACATCAGTTTCATATTTTGGGGGGAATGTTACACAGAGCTGGTTGGGAACACGGATCCATTGATCCATCATGTGACCTGACGTTTTTTGGAAACCACAGAGAAGAATGTTACAATAATTTTGGGGGAAACATTATCCTTCAAAAACTGAAGTCTAGTATCTACTTCCGTTTTCTGTTCGAAGCCTAAGTAGACCGCTTTGTCAGGTTTTTTTTTAATCAAAGCCTATTATGCACACTAATATAATATTGAAAAAAAAACACCATCTGCCTCAGTATGGATCCACAGGCCTTGTTTTCATGTGTTATTTTTTGCCACCGGGAAAAATGGCAACATGCTGCAGGGATCCAAGAGCTTTTGTGATCCTGTATCGCAAGCAGCGATGAGATTAGTGTCAGACTCCACGATTGTACTTTTGAGTCATGAATGTACTGCATGTTATGACACAACACTTGCTGTGAGGAGAAGCTCCTGTTTTCTCTTTGGCATCATGCTGCAAATATATCCATTAAAACGAAGGCTGATTATTGACTGTAATTGAAATAAGGAAGATGATCCTTCCTTGGGCAAACTAAGGCCCGGGGGCCAGATGCGGCCCATTCAGCTTTGTAATGCGGCCCGCCAAACTTGTCCAAATTATGTAACTGCTTTGTATTGTGATTATACTTCTGCCTTTTCCCTGCAATGTCCACCTTTTCCCTATAGGTGGCGGAGAGAAGGCTAAAACAATTTTAGCATTGTAGCCTTTATGCATCACTTTTACATGTCCACTCACTCCATCTATCTGCTCCAACCCGGCCCCCTTGTCAAATTTTAGGACCAATTGTGGCCCGTGAGTCAAAAGGTTTGCCCACGCCTGCCGTAGACCATGTGAGAGACCACAACTGTACTGAAACAGTCAGTTCCAGGTCAATGCTAGACGTTAGTCAGTCAGAAGGAAGTCAATGATTGACTTCAATGTGACGGCAGGTCCAGTTAGGTGAACGACTGCTTAGAACTGTCTAACAGACCAAAAAGAAAAAGTAATGAATAAAAACAACGCAAAACGTGTGGGGTTGTAGTCATGTATGCATTTCAAAGAATAGAGCCAGTGCTTTAATTCAGATTTTACAACAATTTGAGTGTTGAAATTCAACACCAAGTTCAGAACTGCTTATTCTGTCTGGCATATTTTCAAAACTATTCTGTGAATTATAGTGAAATTTTAACTTTTATCTTCACTTATATTGCAGTTAAGGTTTGACAAAAATGTTATCTGTGTTTCGCATCATTTTTCACAATATATATGTGTGAGCCACAATGCTGTTCAAAACAGGTATTCAATGGTAAAAAAACAAAAACAAAAAAAAAGCAAAACCTTAACTGTGTGAGGAGAGTTACATCAGATCCACTTTTTTAAACATATATGTCAGGTTAATACATTTTCGTATACATTTATATATTTTCTGAACATTATTGAGAGCAGGGGTGCCCAATAAGTGGATCCCAAACTAACAACCAATCAGAGTGCTGGTAAACCCTAACAATCACAATAAATAAATATAAATATAATTCTATAGTGCGTAGTAGTGACTATATAGTGCATAAAATCAATACCCTGACATATAATGTATATATAAGGTATGTTTCAGATATATGAGTACATATATATATAACATTTTCACATTTAATAGCAGCAATTTAAACTCTAAGAAGATCGTAATAATCTACAGATGAACCCTGGAGAAGACAACTGTAAGTTATTTACTGTATAAAAAAACCTCATGCTCTTAATAAACCCTAAAAAAATGACATAACTGTACTAAACATTACACACGACCCCATATGAATTCCAGGCGACTCCATGTGGGGTTGCGACCCCAAGGTTGAACAGCACAGCCCAAGCCCCTCCGTGCAGACTCATTCACATGAAGGTGAAGAACCGACCAAGCCACTGTCATTTAATATCTGTGATTGCGTCTCAGAGCAATACGCCGCGTCCGTCTGTGGTGTTGTTAATCAGATCGCAGATGTGGGTAAAATATATATAGGTCTGCGTGAGACGAGCGCTACTGTCTGACAGCAGCTTTGTTTATGCGCCGGTGTGAGTGAGTGAGTGAGTGAGCACGTCAGGTGGCGTGCACAGCGCTTCAT